GAAAAATAAAAAGTTTTCTCCTCTCGAGTAGAAAGAGAAACATTAATAGATTTTTTATACTGAAAATAATCTTTTGATAAAACTATAACGCATTTTTAAAAATAATTTATGTCTGAGATTGAAAACGTTTTCATTTTTATTTTTATTTTCATACAAAAAATAAAATCATTTTAAAACGAGTTTCAAATGCACCATTTGTTTCAGAATTAGGATATCATTATCTATGTACTCTTTTACTTAGACTTTGGTAGGGAAAAAAAAAAGTGTGGGAAGCGACCGGCCGTAGCTACTTCCTTTTTGTGTGAGCGTAGGGGTCTCCACATGTTAAGGAATGTTCGCATTTGAGCTGATGGAAGATGAAGCGCGTCACCTTAGACCCACCAAGAGGTAATGATGTTGAGTTGGTAGCCTAGAAATAGTCCAAAGCGTTTCCCATGAGACTCAAACTTGAGATGTCCCATCTACTAAAGCACTTGGGAATAAGCCAAATCCATTGCTCTAGGCTACCACCTTGGCAGTAGTCTTTTTCTTCGATTAGTCCTAGAGGGATTAAACTTTACCTCTATAATGTTATTCAATTTTCATCATCATTATTATAATATTCAGAGATGTTTTAGAGTATATCTATGTTAACTCCTTGAACGAGTTTAAAACTTCATCTTCTTTTGTCAGGTTGCTTGGAAAGAGGGATTTGATGAGCCTGGTGCTGAACATTTTGACCACAAGATTTATGGCTCGAAAAAGTGGATCGGAACCACTGAATGTGCTGCCCTTTTACGCTCCTTTGGGGTCCGGGCAATGGTGGTTGATTTTGGTCCTAAAGAGTTGGAGTCGCTTTATCTTAGTGTTCCAGGTTCAAGTGTTGGGGACGAGGTGAACGTTGTTATGTGTATGGGAGGAAAGAGGAGAGGGGTTGAAGTTTATGGACCAATGGATAGGTATGTTCTGAGAAAGAATCATAGTGTTCATCAAGGAGATTCCAGTGTGCAGGAAAGGGCTAGTTCTTCTGGTGTGCAGCTTGGTGGCTCTTTGGGTAGTGAAAAGAATATCACAAGAAAAAATAGGGGTCAGCAGGTTCTTGTTGACTGGGTCTGGAATTACTTTTCTAATGAAAACACCACTAAACCCGGCAATCGTTGTGTCATTGTCAGTGAGAAAGCGTAAGTCCAATCTTTGTAGCCCAACATGGAAATTGTTATGTTGAGTATCATGTTTGGATAGCATTCATTTTGAATGCGTTCTAATGTTTTGTGAGCTGTTGTGAGCAGGCCCTTGTACTTCCAACATGATGGGCATTCAAGAACTATTGTTGGAATTCAAATCAAATATCAACGAAACGGGGTTCAGCAACATAATCTCTTGATCTTGGACCCTGGTCATGTAAGTTTCATCCTATTCATTTTTCACTTAATTGTGGAATATGTGATTCCTTTTGCATTCTAAAAGCTGCAGTTAGGTTTTGTTGGTGAATAGAATTGATTAGTTCACAACACATAGTAATACGAAGAATTCCAATTTTAGATGGATTTAAGGTGTTTTCTCTTTACCCTTTTTTTGGAAAATCTTAGGCTTCAACTGAAATCAGAACTTATATCCTCTTCTTGACAAATGTACACTGTTGTTTTGATGTTTGGTTGGAGGATTCAAACCATGATTTGAATCATGGTTCAAGGTTCGCTACAGTGTTTTCTCTCACAAAAAATACACGTAAATCAAAAATGATTCTAATAACATGATTCTGATCCATGAACCAAACGTTTCCGACTGAACTAGGATAACTTTTCCTTAAAACTAATTTCAGGAGCTCACTTTGTGAAACACATCATTTTTTTTTTCTTCTGATAGTTAAAACACTTCATTATATTCTCAGTGAACCTGCTGTAGTATATGCCTTGTCAATAGCATCGCCATTATTTTCACTTTTCTGCCACATGATTACAGAGAACTGCCGCCCTTGAAAAATCGCTTAGAGAAAATGTAGGATGGCAGAAGTTTATAAAGAGAGGAGTCCACACACTAAAAAAGCCGCAGTTCCAGGTTATGATTACCTAAATAGTACTTTTCACCTTTTCCTTATTTATTTATTAATTACTTGAATGACCTTTTCCTTATTACTTTTTGAGGACTGGGCTTGATGTGATTATTTATATTCAGTTATGTTATGTTGATCCTGGAATTGCTACTGGGGAGGATATGGAATCGCTCAAGACAATAAACAGTGTATTTCTCGAAATCTAGAAAATCTTTTATACTCCCGATCAAGGTTAGCAATTTACCACAAGGTTAATGTGTGCAACTTGGTTGGAAATAAGGTCCAGACAAGGTTTTCCATAGCCGGGAAATATGTTAATTTATTAACATGTAGGACAGTAAAATAGAAATCTATTTACACTGTTTCTTTGAAGTTGGCTCAAGTATGGGGATGAGATGGTGCAAGAACAAACGATAAAATCAGTTGACAACCAACGACAGCAAAGATGGACTTCAGGAGCCACTGCCAGAATTCAAGTCAATTATCTGTAACAGGAGGCAACTACACACAATCTGATGACTTTGGAATTCAAGTTCCAGATGCTGTTGAGATTTCTCACCAAGTTTTATGGCCGGAATAGACTTCAATACAGTCCCTCATATGCTATCAAGTTTGTGTGGTATCTGAGTTTATGATTGTATAAAACCTATGCGCAACTTCATTTGTGTAATTCTGGATAGTAGGCCGCCACAGTTTTTCAGTTGTTTCTAAAGCACTCACAAAGGCTTTCTCAGACTTGGCTTCAAGAGCACTTGTTGCTTCATCTAAGCAGCAAAATATCAGGCTTCTTTAGCAGAGTTTTAGCAATGCCTATTCTTTGCTTTTGTCCTCCTGAAAATGGGCAGCTCTTCTCCCCAACAACTGCGTTATAGCCATCAGGCAAATCACTTATAAATTCATACATGTTTGCTTGCCTTAATACCTTATGCCTATTCTTTGCTTTTGTCCTCCTGAAAATGGGCAGCTCTTCTCCCCTACAACTGCGTTATAGCCATCAGGCAAATTACTTATAAATTCATACATGTTTGCTTGCCTTAATACCTCGACAAACTCGGTTTCTGAAGCCACATTGTTGCCGTAGCAGATATTGTCTTTTATCTCATTCCCGTCAATAATTATGCTTACTTCTTGAGGATCATAGAACCGGAGCAGAAGGATGAAGATTGAAGAGTTTCCAGCTCCACTGGGGCCAACAAAAGCCACCTTGGACCCAGCTTCAATCTGTAAACTTAATTTGTTGAGAAAAATTACTTCTGGTCTTAATGAGTATTTGAATTTAACATTTCGAAATTCAATCCTCCCTCGGACCTTAGTGGAATTTGGAAGCTCTTGTGTATCTGATTCGATTTCAGTTTTTCGGTCAAGGGATTCAAATGGAGGCATTAGTACACTGATGGCAGAGATGAGATGACAGTAGGAATAGGTGTCCAGAATTCTGTTATTAGAGGCACTATGAGAGAGAAGATCTGATACTATGATCGAGAAGATCTGATACTATGATCTAGAAAAGTTGCTTGCTTATCGTGGACCAAAACAGCAGTGTACTGTAGCGCAACAGCTTGTGCAATGTTCCATAAACAGATAGAAACACCTTTGAGTTATGCCATACTTGATATGTAGATATGTGGCTTACATTTTTTTTTTATATTTTTGTTTTAGCTCTGATTGTGTAATTTGCATTTAGTAAATTGATGATGGTAACATTTAGTGAATATTTAAAGACTCTGGCTTACAAGTCATGCATGAGGCCAGAGATGTTGAAATCCGGGCAAGTTCCAAAAACGATTTTACTGTCGCGCGTATAATCTCAAATGATTTGCATTTTCTTTTCTTTTTGCTTTTTCTTTTTTCTGATAGTGCATTCTTTTGGAGATTCTATCCTGGATAGTAAAGCAGCTGAATTTGGGATGATGAAAGAGAGATGGTGATTTATTCTACTAATAAAATAGAGGAGCCTCTAGCATCATAACCTTTATTATCTCATACCTTTGGTCAAAAATCTCTATGACCAAAGTCATCAGAAACTACTCCTTCAAGGCCGGTGAAGAACATGCTAGTTTCCCGCCAAACTTTGAAGCTGAAATAGTCTTGAATAAACACCCTCAGATGTTATTAAACTTGAGTGAGAACCCATTTCCGCAAGCTCACCTTTGTCCATGACAAAAATGGTATCCGAGTTCATCACTGTGGAAAGCCTGTGAGCCACTGTGATCTGTGTGGTCTTGGACATTGTTATTCCACCACTTGTGTTTACATTTATCTTCTCCAAAGCATTCACAATGCTTCTCTCAGACTCAGCATCAAGAGCACTTGTTGCTTCATCTAGAAGCAAAATTGCGGGACTCTTTAGCAGTGCTCTAGCAATAGCTACTCTTTGCTTTTGCCCACCCGAAAGTTGGCACCCCTTTTCCCCGACCACCGTGTCATATCCATCAGGCAATGTACTTATGAATTCATGTATGCTTGCTTGCCTTGAGACTTCCACAATCTCGGTTTCTGAAGCCGCATCATTTCCATAGCAGATGTTGGATCGAATCGAGCTACTAAAGAGAAGAGGCTCTTGTTGCACCAATCCTATTTGTGCCCTCAACCATCTCAAATTGTACTTTCTTATGTCCTCATCATCAATGAGTATCCTTCCTTTAATGGGATTGTAGAATCGGAGCAAAAGGGCTAAAATGGAAGATTTCCCAGCTCCGCTTGGGCCAACGAGAGCCACCTTGGACCCTGCCTTAATTTGCAAACTGAAATTGTTGAGTACAGTTACTTCCGGCCTTAATGGATAGATGAACTTGACATTTTGGAATATAATACTCCCTTTGATCCTATCAAGATGCGGCCCTTCTGGCGTGTCTGGTACAATTTCAGTTTTTCGGTCAAGGGTTTGAAATGCAGGAGTTAGTACACTAATGGCAGAGATGACAGTAGGAAGTAGTGTCCATAGTTCTGTGATCGAGGGCACAGTGAGAGAGAATATCTGATAAGATCTTATGCCATCTTCAAAGCTTGCTTGATTTCGATGCACCAAAATCGTTGTGTACCACAGTGCAACCGCATGTGCAATGTTCCACATGCAAAGGGAAAGGCCTTGAATTATGCCATACTTGATACTTTGTATCCTGCTCTTCCTCATGGGACTTTCTAGAGACTTCTTCGCTTTCCTGAGTATATGCTCTTCGTGGCAAAAAGATCCTACAGTTCTTATGTTGGTTGAAGACTCGGAAGCAAGGGCAACAAGTTCAGAATGTGACGCGGCAATGTCACCTGAAAAGCCTTTAGTGGACTTGGCTTGGATTAGGCCGCCAATGAAGTGGCAAGGCATCACAGCCCAAGCAACTAGACCCATTCTCCAGTTAACTTTCATACTTACAGTTGTTGCAATCAGTATGGAGGAGATGCACTGTACAATAACCGACATACGATCTGCAATTATGATCTTGATCATGGTCGTGTCACTGATAATTCGCGAAGTAAGTGAGCCAATGTTGTTCTCAGGTTTCTCAAACCACGCCACTTCATTGCGTAGTACTTCTGCAACATTTGGATGTAACAATTATTAAATTTATTCGCCAAAAAAAAAAAAAAAAAAAAAAAACAGAAATAAAAACAAAACAGAAAACAAACTTCTAATAAAAAAACCAACTAGGAAGGTACTCAAAGGGGTTTAAGTTGCTGATGTTAAGTTTACCGATCCTCCTAAAAGTTTAAGCAAATAACTTGTGGCTCAAGTTAAGAGTACCTGAATATAAACCTCGCCTTAGGTTTGCCATCGCCTTTTCCCCAACCAATCCAAAGAAGTAATGTTGCAAGGTGTGGGAACATAATGAAAGCAACCCAATTACAGAAAAGATTAGTGAGTACCTTCCAACTTGTCTCTTTGCATCCTTTTGGTAATATGCTATTCCTATAGTGATAATATAATATCCAAAGACAGGTTTTGAAATTCCTGAGAAAGCTGCTGCAATGGAACCAACAGCAACCTTTGCCAGCTCTCTCTCTCTTAAGCCAAACCAGATTCTAAAGAATATAGCAGTTTTCCTTCTACTTTCATGTTCCTGATCTTGCTCGGAAGTCTCTCTGAGATGAATCTCGGGCTTTGTGAGTTTCTTTTCTTGTTCCGTGTCGTTTTCAGATGAAAGCTGGTGGTGGAAACTTTCAGTTTCTTCAGAAGAACTTGTAGTAAATCTGTTAGCCAGTTAACATTACGAGAGTTATATTCCATTTTCTTCTTATAACTTACTACTTATCTATGGGGACTTGTACCCTATTGACATTTAAAATCCCTTTTTTTTTTTTTTCTGAACTTGGGTAAGGGGATTTGAACTCTACGACTTATGGTCTAGTCAGGTGTGAAATTGCCGTTAGCTATGCCTGCAACCACTAAATTCTAAATTTTATATCTCATATTTTTATAAAGTTTCAATTGTACCCCTTCATTAGCAAGAAAAGTTATATCTAAAAGATTATGATTATGTCCTCATTGAATAAGAAATTTTCTGGCTCTGCCACTGCTGCTTATGTAAAGCGAAATATAGTTAACCTTGATTGATGAACTGGATTAAGGTTCTGCATATGGCACAAGTTGTTGTAGAATTTGCTGGTATCTAGGAGGCTGCTGTGAGTTCCAGTCTCTATAATCTTTCCATTTTGTACAACTGCAATTATATCTGCATTAACAATAGTTGACAACCTGTGTGCGACCAAGATAACTGTCCTTCCCTGCATCGCCCTCTCGAGGGCGTCTTGAACAAGTTTCTCTGACTCAGTATCAAGTGCACTTGTGGCCTCATCAAGCAAAAGAATTGGAGGGTTTTTAAGGATGGCTCTTGCTACTGCTATTCTTTGCTTTTGCCCTCCTGATAACTGAACTCCTCTTTCTCCTACCTATCATGAGAAAAGTAAATGCAATGTTTTTGATGATGGAAATAAGCAACAAATGGTGCTTTATACATTGGAATGTATTTCGATCACAAATGAGTTCTTCTTCCTTTATTTTTCGTATTTTTTTCATCTCTCATGATCTTTGTTATTGCTTTCAACATGTTCTTGTTGTTTCTGTAATGTTTCTAGTCGTTTATAGAACCTTCCTGTCGTTCTTAAATTTTGATGTCAGTTTACAATTTTTTTTTTTTGGGTTCCCACCGTTTTCAAGTTGTCTGTTGCTCGTAAATATTTTTTTTGTTTTCAAAGTTTTCAGCCATTTTTTTCATCTTGTTCAGGTTTAATAACGTGTACACATATTGTTGCTGTTTTCTGGTTGTTGTCGTTTTTTTAATTTTTCTGTGACATCAACTATTTTCATTGCTCATGTTTATCGGTCTCGTCGTCGTTTTCTCGCTATTTTCTTTTTCGGGCCGGCCCTTAAATTCCGTAATAGTTACCATGTGGTTGTCGTTTTTTCATGTTTGATGTCCTTTTCTATTTTATTGGTTTTCCCCCTTTTTTTTTTTAAAGAGAAATTGATCATTTTTTCTGATTATCATTGTTATTTCATGTTAAAGTGTCAGCGTACACGGTTCTATTATTTCCAGAAAACAATTGCCTTTGAGAACTATTTATAGAATCTGACCTCTTCGAAGTACCGATTTGGAAATTGAGATATAAAAGAATGTGCATTAGCCATCTCTGCTACCTTCTGGATCTGTTGGTCATCAGCATCCATGTTACCTATTCTCACGTTGTCTTTAACGGTTCCTGAAAAGAGTGCTGGTTCTTGGGAAACTAATCCTACATTTCTCCTCAGGTACTTCAAACCCAGATTCTTAATGTTATGATCATCAATCAGAATTTCCCCTACACGGTTTACTTCTACAGATTAGACACCTATATTCAGAACTTACAAATAAGATAAAAGATAAATAATTTTGAGAAGTTGATCAGCTACAAAGAGAGTATCAAATTACAGAGGACAGATTATGTTACGAATAAATAAATAAATAAACTGTTATTTATCACCAGCGGCAATACATCATCACGCATGATAACATAATAAAAAAGTCGTATAATAAAATTATAATAGTTGGGCACCACATTGCTATGTTACATTTCTCATATGCATATGCATCACCAATGATGACAGACAATATTCTTTTTTTTTTAACACATCGGAAAAGAACCAACTTTATGAACCCCTAGTCCCCTAAATATCAACTTTATGAACCAACTTAAGAACCATCCAACTTATTAAAAAAAACATAATAATGTTAATGTTGCACCAAAAAAAAAAAAAAAAAAAATTTAAATTTTGCCCAAAAAAAAAAAAAAAAATTTAAATTTTGCCCAAAAAAAAAAAAAAAAATTTAAATTTTGCCCAAAAAAAAAAAAAAAAATTTAAATTTTGCCCAAAAAAAAAAAAAAAAAAAACTTATTAATATAAATAAGCTAGAAAGTTTATGGCTAATTAACAACCAGCTAAAGAAAGAAAGCTTGGTTATGCTATTAAGGATGTCAGTAAAGATGGTGCCAACCTTTTGAAGGATCATAGAATCTTGACACTAGGGAGATTATAGTGCTTTTTCCACAGCCACTACTACCCACTAGAGCTACTGCCTTTCCTGCTGGAATTGACAATGAGAACCCTTTAAGGATCTCTTTCTCTGGACGGGATGGATAGGAAAAATACACATCGCGTATTTCGATGTTTCCATCAACTTTCTCAAGTGTCATTCCTTCAGAATCATAACTTATAACGGGTCTCCTTTCAATCACTTGGAAGACTTCACTTCCTGCTGCCTTGGCTTGATTGAATATTTGCATATCAGGTGCGGCATATGTAAGTGCTCTGAAATTTAAGCAAAGTGAGATTAGACTTAGTTTACGATAGTTGTTTGCTTTAGGTAGAAACAAAGATGAAAGTTAATAGAAAGTGAGTTCCATGTTGTAAGACCCGCTCTCTGTTTGTGTGTGGTGCTAGACATTACTGGTGCTTCCTTGTATTGTTCTTGAAAAGATACTAAAATAGCTGTAAAAGTGCATTAATGGCATCGTAAAGTACTTTTTTTTTGTACTCTTACTAAACACGCCGCTTTTATCATGTTATGTGCAAAAGACTTATGAAACTTCCGAAAACAATACCAAACTGATGCAGTATACTCGAAGGATTGTGCTCTACACGAGTTATTTTTGAATATTATTTTGCTTACATCGCTCCGAAAAGAATGCTCATCACTGCAGCTATCATGTCTCCACCTTTTGCCTTCTTGTCAGTGACTAAGAAAGCTCCAACCCATATGATGAGAGCCCAAGAACAGAACGACACAGTTTGGAACATTCCTGTTCCAACTCCTTTTATTAGAGCCTCTCCTTTGCTTATGAGAAACTGTTGGTTCATGCACTGTGAGAACGCTTTGATTGCTGAATTTTCTCCAACAAATGCGTATACTGTTTTGATTTGAGATATTGTCTGTCACAAAGTCAAACAGTATACGGTAAAGAATGAAAATATTATACTTCACATAAATCAGTACAAATTTCAAGAGTTCTCTATGAACTCGGGACAGTATGGCCTATAATCCCCTTCAATTTTGAGTAATGGTGAGCGCACCTCCAACTCCACACCGGACAGCTCCGCATGAAATAGAGCAAATCAGTCCCATGAGGTGGGACACTCTCTTTATTTCAGTGCGGAGCTGGATAGCTTGACTCAGTTTGGTGATAGAAATGACCATGTGACTTGCACATAGTAGCGAAACCAGCCTTTCATTTCAGTAAGAGCGTATATTAAATTTTTTTTAATAAATTATTTTAGTGGATGTATATAAGAAAATATATTTATTTTAGTGGGGGTATAAGTGTAAAATTTTAAAATTTCTAAAGGTAATATTTTTTTTAAAAAAAATTGAGTGGAGGCTGAGCTGTACTTAAATGATATTAAAATGATATTAGGGTGGGTAAAACAGTCATTTGCCTTAAAAATTATATATGATCTTATTATTGTTGAAAAACTGTTACCTGTTCTACCATAGATGTTGCTTGTGAATGGCAACCCATTTTGGCAGCTGAAATAGTGTTCATTTTCTTGGTGTAAGTGGCTCCAATAACAAGAATCAGAGGGACAACCATGAAGGTAAGAAGTGCTATTTGCCAAGAGCATATGGCAGCAATCAAAATTCCCGAAAAGAACGTGGCAAAGCTTGAAAGAAAATGGCCCAACTACAAGTGAAATAATTATCAATAATGTCATTTTAACGACTTTGAAATTAATGTAACGATAAGAAGGATTAGCCAGTGTTTGAAGTATCTTTGTACCTTCTCCCCAATGGCATCCTGTATGATACTCATGTGATTACTAATTCCACTAATGATTTTTCCACTTGTTAAGTCTGTGTCAAAGGCCCCGATTTCCTGACTAAGTACTGCTTTTAGATAAGCTAATCTTAGACGAGCCAATTGTCTTTCACTTGCATACATCCAACATCCAATCTCTGATATTCCAAAGAAAATAGCATAAATAAGAAGTTCAAAAGGAACCAATAAACTTCATTACCCTTGGTAATTTTTCTCTGACTTTTATGGATATCTTGTAAAGCATCATTTCATTTTCAGTTTTTTATTAGATCTTTATAATACATTATATGATGATCAAGATTCAAGCATGCTTGAAGTGTTAAGAAAATTTACCAAGGATTCCAGCTGGAAAGGTAGCAAAAGCCATGTACCATACGTATGGAATAACCTAATCAACAAACGAAAGAAACCAACTATTTAGCATGCAAAATTAGGCCCACTATATCTATATCTATACCCATACACACACACATAAGAAATATAATCTATAAAACCTGTGCTGAAAACAGAATCTCGACAATCTGTCAAGACCAATGTGATAGTATAGTTTTAAACAAATAAAGCAATGCTTTGAAAACGAAATCTCGACAAAATCTATCAAGTTTCATGTCATGAAGACACAAACACATGTGATAGTGGGGATTGATTCAGAGCAAAATAACTAAGCAAAGAAGTGATTTAGAAACCAAAAAAAAAAAAAAGCACTAAGCAAAGAAGTGATCAGTGAGAAATCTATACAACCTTGTAGAGGGCGTTGACCGTGGCATGAGTATCATTAATGTTGTCGCCGAACGCATTGAGTGCTTTGCCAAGCAACAAGTATCCAATGGGTTGAGCCATGCCATGAACAACTGATCCCAACGTCCCAAATGCCATCAAACTCCAATCCCATGCATCTGCATAGCTCAGCAGCTTATGAAACGGCAAAGCAGCTTTGGCTATAATGAAATTGTCATCTTTTTTCTTCTCGTCGACCTTTTCCGCTTCATCAGTGAGTTTTTCTTGGGGCTGGGGGTTAATTTGCAACATATTTTGCGTGCATGTGTTGTTGACTATGTATGACTACAGTTCTATTCGTAGCATCTTAGCGTTTGTATCTCCATATTATATAGATGTTATGAGAATAATCCAAAGGAAAGGAATATTTTGTGGATATACTTTGGCCTTACGATAAAATAAAGAAGGAATTTTTTATTTTGCGTTTTGGTTGCGTATTGGTGTTTTATTGCATGCATGTCAGCCGAAAAGAACATAATATAGAGTAATTATTGACCTTGTCCGACTGTTTATGGTTGTCTGACATAGAGATCCAAAACAATTACTCCAGCTGAGTGGCCGGTTCTCAATCAAAGTTCATTTCCCATTCCCATGGTAATGACATTAATGTGTCGTTTCAGTTTATAAATATGTTTATACGTATGTATTTATATATATTCCGACATCTAAAGCATTAGAGTTGGGTTTTTTTTTTTTTTTTGGGGGCATCGAAATCCGCGTGTCATGCCTGCTGTCCTCTAAACAATAGGAGTACATACATATATTATATGAGTAATATATTATGTCGCATTCATGTCATAAGATTTATCCGAACTGACTTTTAAATAATAATAATAATAATAATAATAATAAATAAATAAATAAATAAAAACTAGTCTGTTTTGATCCCTTTTATCGGTTGTCTGTTGGTAGAAGCATTATGTGAATCCAGTTCTTGAATTCAAGCACTGTACTGCATCGAAACGTGTTTTCAAACAAATCGTGTAAATATATACCTGCTTCTAAATCACATCCTAACCTAACCTCCCCATGACTCACCACCGCGGAAAAAAAGAGAGGGAAAATATTTAATATTAAAAAAAAAAAAAAAAAAAAAAAAAAAAACATGAGAGATAAATTCATTCCATTCCAAATTAGACGATGAGATTAAAATACTCAAACTGCTCAAAGCGCCCCTTAAGAAAGGCGGTGTAGGCTTCTATTAAATTAAAGCAGCAAGACATATATACCAAATTAAAAATTAAAAAAAAAAAAAGGCTGTTACAATATACAAATGCCAAATTGCTCAACACGTAATTGCAGTTGCTATTAAACCGCTAGCACAATGAGAGTGCTATTTCCTAAAACTAAGCATAACTTGAAAGAATACAAATCCCATACTGCTCTTTATACACAATGAGTGCAAGAAACCTAAAACACCGATGGAATTTGGTTGCACCGCCGCTCCCGTTCCAAAACCAGAAGACAAAAAGGAACTTCCCAGCTTCTACAGGGGTTCAAGAGTTCCGCTTTTTAGTCTCTCCATACGGGCTTGAAGCCCGGATAATGCCTTCTCATCCATAGGAAGGACGCCACTACGTACAGGATGTTCCAAATTTGAATGTTCCGGTGCATGATGAACCTGATCGGAAAATCCTTGGTTCACCATGTCGTTCACGTAAATATTAGGCCTACTTTCTGTATCCGGATTCCCAGCAGCCGCCGCTAATTGCATGCTCTTCATCCTCTCTCTGATCGCATCTAACGTCCCACTCGTTACTGCGGTTTCCATGGAGAGCTCCATTGTTAGTCTCTCTTCACCAATTAAAACACACATGGTATTAAACGCATTATGAAAACAGTTACCTCCACTTATATATCTTTCACTTCTTTGGTCACCCAATGAGTTATCTGTGGTAAGACCTCTAGGAATGGAATTATTTGCTCTAGCGTCTTCAGTGTATGACGGTGGTAGATTGAAGTTAGTCGGTTCAGATTTCATATTCAATGACTTTGCATCATTTAATGAATTTGCATGTACAGGGGAGAGGGGTGCAAGTTCTGGAGAAGAAAGACTCAAGGATGATGGGGGAGGCGTAGATAGCGGCAAACTCGATGGCGTCCTCCCAGCTGCTGCATTCTTCTCCATCTAAAACAGAAACCAAAAGTAATTGTTAATACGGATCACCAATAGCATGTCCACAAGTATTTAACGAAAGCAAAACAACCTGAAAAGTTTTGCTACAGTAGCAGTCATGATACAATACCTGGGCTAAACCATCTCTAATATATGTGCGAAACGCCTCACTAGCATTTTGGAGCTGAGCAAATATATCTACCTGAAATACATATAGCATACCAAATTCACACGACTAAACCATAAGAAAAGCAGTGCTAGCTTGTGTTCAATATTTAAGGTTTGTTCTTTTAGAACGAAATTCAGAAAAAGTTTGAACTCAAGTTACAACTTTATTTAAATTCATTTTTTTTGTAAAATTTGAGTTTAAATCCGAATTTGAACTCAAGTTTGGGGCTAAACTCGAGTTCAAGTTTCCCCTTCAACTTGAGTTCATAAACTCAAACTTAAGTTAATGAACAGTATTTTTTCTATTCTTAAAATGTCATAACTTTTTCGTTTTAATTTTGATTGAGATGATTTTTTTTTCTATGCATTCACAACGAAAAGACGAATAAAATTTCACCCATATACCCTATGAAAATTTTTCATCACCATTGAGTTTTTATTAAAATACTATCTAAATATAAATTTAACTTTTGACCCACCAAACACAAACTCAAAAAGATTCTCAATTCAAATCATAACTTAAATGCGTACATCCGAACACAAACTCAAGTTACAACTTCAACTCAAATTATAACTCAAACTCAACTCAAGATCATCACTCAAGTCACCATAACTCAAAAATGCAAAAGAACAACCCCTTAACTTTGAATTCCCTCCATGAAACATGAAATACAGTGGAATTGACGACTTACTTTTGGGTATAGTTGAGTTATGCGATATAGTTCATACAGACCAATGGTGCAAGTCTGTTTATCACCAATTTTCTTGAATATCGCAGCAAGCTCTTGCTACAAGTTATGTAAACCAAAAGAATCAGAGGAATTCATGAACACAAATTTTCTAGGGTAATGACAAACGGGCGTATAAATGAAGTTAATCAATGAACAACTAGGTCATTTTGAACCTTCAACTGTGCATCAGCAGAATGCGTGGCAGATGACGAATTGTTGGCCGCTGAATCACCCCAATGAGTTTGGCCCACAGGCCCAGTTGCTGTCAACATCCTTGCTGCAGCTAGAGTCTGCTACATTATAGTAGAGCAATTATACAGAAGTTGAAGCAAAGATATCTTGAATCCAGAATTATCAAAAGCCATAAAGAGAATAAGCTTCACTAATTTACCTCTAGATTAAGATCAATGTAGGCTAGAATAATTGGCTGAGGTTTCATGTCGATAGGAACCATGGAAAGGTGACCTTTAATTGCAGCTCCACGAAGCTTCACAAGTTCATGTAGAACAGTTTTAACCATTCGCAATGGCTTGTCATCGGCACCAGCACTGAATTTATGTCACACATCGACAGGAGAAATGAGACCAGTACATGTAAGTGTATAATAAGTAAAAATTATAATTAAAAGCAACACTCAGGGCGTAAATGATTGCATGTGAGCCCACATCTAAACAAAAAGAGACATACCGTCTCCTGATTTCTTCCATCCCCAAGTCTTGCAGATACAAATGGATGCTTTGCAGGATGCGGTCAAGATCAACATCATAAATAGTGCTTTGAAGAACCTATCCACAAGAAAGCCAAGTTGTAAAACGTCAAAGACTATCTTTGAACAAGAAATAACATTTTAAAAAACAAAGCTCTACGCTTAACATAATGGAGATAGATTATCGATTCCCAAATCTGGTCATGGTTTCTTTAAGATGATCAGAAAATATATTTCTAAGAACTTTGTGATCCGGTATCATCCAACTTTTTCAATTAATGGTTCTCTGAAACAAAAGACAATACAACTACTAAGAAGCTCCAATAATTGCAACATTTGCCTTATAGGCAACAGCCAGCATCCAGGGAAGGACCAAGGCTTCAACAAATAAAAAGTTTTTCCCCCTTATGCATCAACAAATTCTTTCCCACGACCATGGACTTGAGATACTTTAGAAAATAACGGAACTTGTCTGAAAGGACAAGGGGGAACAAAAGTTACCTTTGTAAGTTTAATAAGACATTTGACAACCAGATCAGAGAACTTCTGATTTCTGACAGCAAATGTCTCATTTGATGCAGGTGATGGCCACCTTGAGGGATCTAATGGACGTAAGAGATTAATGAGAACAACAAAGGACGAAGTTCGATCTGCATTATCCTGTATGTAGAATAACTAGTCAAAACTAAGGTAATGGATGACTAGAAATACTGCAGAGAGGAACAAGGGGCGAAGAAAAGAAACAAAATGAAAGTGCAAGTAAATCGTAACCAGAATTTTTAGCATCAAGACATTCAAAGCTTTTAATAGCTGGCTGCCATCATCCATATGCGGAACTCTCTCATCCAGAAGCCATAGAAGGAGCTCAGTTATTAGACTGTCAAGAGTACTCTCCTTGACAGCATAAGCAAGTCTCTTGTTCTGAAATGTCTGAAAAAGGATATCAAATTAGAAAATTAGCAGCTTAAATCAATTGCAATTCTGGTTGGAGGCTTCAGTATTGGACAGGTCAAGAAATAGAGAATGCTACTAGCGTTATAGGTTTAGATAAAATGAGGTTATTATATAGCAAACTTAGCACAGGAACCCGGCAGGGAATTTTTACCTGCATGAGGGTGTTCAGAACATATTTACAGGATCTAGATGATGCTCCTGTCAAACTGAAGTCAAAAGTCTTGGCTACCTGTTGAAGGGGGAAAAAACTCGTAAATCTCCAACGAGGCTGATTTCTAAACCAACGTAATTATTATCTTATTCTACGGAAATCAAATGGAGGGTGGCAGTTGCCTTATTTGCCAAGCATGAAACGAGCCTATCTGCATCCTTAACAAGTTCATCCATTGCACTGCCTTCTGGATCACTAGTGGCTTGTGCCAGCTCATGGCACACAACTTTCATTCCTTCAACAGACTGCAAAACAGGCTAATGTGTAAGCACAACTATTACTCGACATTAAACTTGTTCAAAGAGAACCAAAATAGAAAGGAAACCACACATCTTTTACGACAACAAATGATGGCACTTCATTTTTTTTTTTTTTAATCAAACCAATTACATCTATCATTTGTTGACCAAAAAAGGTGCTAAGAAGGGGCAAAAAATCTAGCACTAGTCAAACTACCTCAGAATTAAAAGCCATATATAAAGCTAATTTACCCAGCAGCCACTGTTGTAATAAAACTAAAAGGTTCAGGCATGAACTACCTAAATATTCTGAGCTTTATCCTAAATAATATTCACGTAGGATGGAAAATTCAAAGAATGGAAAAACCATAAGACTTTTACGACATAAGTTCCCAAATAAAAATCAAAAGCTTTTAAGTTTCATGCAAGACATGCCACTGTCCCCTGGATAGTAAAAATAAGGGGGGGGGACGGGGAAGGAAAAACAAAATAAAGAAAAAAGAACACAAACAGAATAAGACAACACCTGCTCAGGAGAACCAAAAGAAATAATGTCCAACGCTTCATTCCAGTCAGTGGGACCATTAGCACCAGGAAGGGCACGGGGCATAAGTTGTCTCTCCACAGGTAGCTCAACATTGCCATAATTTTTCCTGGAAGTTTAGTCACACACTCATCACGTGATAGAAATACTAGGAGTAATAGTAATTACACTGACAACTTTTCCTTTTCTGCTTTGCTAAGGGGATGGGATCTGATGTTGTAAGGCTACTTAATTTTTGAAACTGAGAATGTTTTGTAGTCTTATGTTTTTTGGATCCTGATGATAGTTTTGTTTTCTCTTTATGTGTACTTCTTTCGTTTTATATTCAAAGAAGTTCATTGTTCCTCGTAAAAAAGTAAAAGTTATTACACTAAAAGATCTAAAGACTTAGTATGCCTGTAATACCTTCCAATTACTGGACCGGAGATAGATCGTGCAACCTCCCCGCTTTGTTCTGCTACATCAGAGCTACAATAAAAAGAAAATTTTCAGGTTTATAGTTAACCAGTTTGTGCCATTGACGTTTTCAAATGATTCTTTACTTTTTGGGGAATGGTAATGGTTATTTCTGGCTGAACGAATACCAAGTTGAGAAGTAAAGTGCAGCACAAATTTTGGAATCAAAGTAGTCTTGGGGAAAAAATGGAGAAAAACCGATTTTGCTTCTGTTTATAGTTTAACAGCCATGAAAAGAACTTTAAAAAGTAAGATAGGAGCATTTTCTTTCACTTATTTGTTTTAATAAAAGAAAAAGATTTTACACGAGGACAGCAAATCAAGAACCAAAACTCCGTCATGAAGAAACAACAACCACATTGAAGAAAACACATCAGATAAGGTCTTAAACAATTTTGAACATTGTTAATCGCTAAAAGAATTATCATATTAAAAAGAAGTAATAAAGCAGCTGTAGATATGAAAGGCATGCTATGACATACCCAATTTCCCTTACAGAACGTCTCAAAGTGGCTCTAGCTTCACCAGGTTTGCCTTCCTTCCTTTTTTCCATTTCTCGAACCTGACAAAGGCAATATACAGATGGATGGAAAACCAAAACAGATTGCAAGATCAAGAAAAAGAAAATTTTAACTTAACTTAAACCTCTGAGCACTGGTTATATACTAACCTTCCATTTAAACCTATCATCTAACATACTCTTCTGAGCATCTGTTAGCTTGCCAACATATCTCCATATATCCTCGCCTAACAAAAAATATAACCATTGACGTCATAAGACAGTGATGAAAGATATCCAGAAATAAAATCCAGCTGCATCAATTGCAAAAAGAATACAGCTAAAAGGAGAACATGTAGAAGAAGTTCAAAACATTGACTAATTAACTAATCAAATGATTGACACCAAAAGGTAAGGACAAAGAATATATTCAACATCCTAAACGAAGACTTTATTGTGCTTAAATGTAAGCATGACATACCAAGAATTTTATAGCCAGTAGCTAAAGTATTTAAAGCAGCTTTCCTTAGCTCTCCATCTCTTTCTGCCGTCAAGCTTGCAACAATTTGCAATGATTTTAATTGTCCACTAATCTGCCAGGTGAGTATATGTAAGTATCCTATTGTATTCCCAATCCCGCATCCTATATAACACCTAATAGCATAAGCAACATAAAGGTCTCCACATTTACCTCAGCACCATGATGTTCCATTAAGTATCCAACAAGATCTACGTTTTCTATCCGTGTACGGTTGTTTTTAGAACGCAAACCCTCCAAAATATAAGGAAAGCTTTTGGAAGCAGAATATGCCTGAACAATTTGCTTGGTCAGCTCCCGCATTTTTTCTCGAACTTTCTCAATGTTATGCCCCAGCTGCGGAAAAAAAAAATCAACACTTCCTTTCACAGATAAAAACTACTCCACTGTCACATACCAAAGTGCAAAGTGCACACACAAAGGAAAGAACAAATTATTTAATTTTTATATAAAAATGTAGAATACTAAAATCTGCTCATGTTCATGTTAAAATAATAAAAATAACCTTCTCTATCAAGCATGGAAAAAATATGGCTGCTTCTGACTCGGTCAAAGAGTGCCCCTCATCCTTTAAGGTGTCTAAAAGTTCAGGAAGAAAATCCAGAACCTATGGTTCATGCCAATAATGCATTTATCAGTTAAAGGATTAAACCCTGAGGGGGACAACTGTTCAAAGAAGCAATTAAAACTTACCTTCAGCAAGCATGTTGTGTTTGATTTACAGAATTGTAAGACAAACCATCTCAGCAGTATATCCAGAACTTCAATGATTTCCTTGCCAATGGATGGGAGCGCCTACAATATAATTCCACATCTCAATTGTGCACTCAGATAATAAAAATAAAATATTTTATAAAAAAATGCAGCAAATTACCTTTTGCAGCATCTCAAGCCCATCAACTTGCTTCTTAAAATCTGTGCTTAAAAGGCGTCTATGCAAATCCTCCCTGAAGTACTTCATCATATCATTCTGCATAGCATGCATGTCAAATAGATTTCGCATAAGATTGCATCAATGGAAATATGGAATACAAACGGCCATTAGATACTATTCAGACAAACCTCAAGATCTTGAATCTGTTCTATTCGTGGCTCTTCAAACTTAAACCGCCTGACCACCATTCTTTCCCTATCCTCCTGCAGATGAGTTCAAATGACAGCTTATCAAAATGTTCAAGCTAACACAAAGTTTGAGAGTTGCCTGCTTAAGTGAACCATACCTTATTCGAGTCTTTAACATTTAACAAAGCCTGTGTTTGGACGGCTATATCTTGAAGAGATGTCACTGATTCTGGCCTTGACGCCTTTGTACCAGCAATTCTCTTTGCAAATATAGAGCCCCAAAAAAGAAAAAAGGTAATGACAATCCATATCCTTGTTAATTAACGAATACAGCGTAAAGTAGGCCAAAAACATACCGAAGGTATGGCTTTATTTCCAGGCTTCAAAACACCGTTGGATGAAGATTTTCCCGCCTTTGTGAGGCCTCTGGATATGGGTCCTGTTGAACTTGCTTTGGCAGGTTCAAAAGATTCTAGACATAAACAATTCAAATTAGTATAATTAAGAAGAAAAGAAACCAAAGAGGAAAATACCCAACAAGCTTACCCTGAAAAACAACATTAGGCCTAAATCGTTCAAGAACAAGAGCTAAAGCTGGCCCATGAATATCTTTTACAATCTTCTCGACCTGAACAACACATTTGACAACGTGTTCACACACTAATTAAGCCAAAGGATCAGCAGGAGTACCACAATTTGCTAGCGCACTTACATTTTCCTGCCCACTAACTCTCAAGATTTCATTAATGCATGTCTCTGCAGCTTTACGAACATCTGAGGATTTATCCTGAAGGAGATTCCATATATTAAAGTAAAATAAAATAATAAATAAATAAACATGGTGTACTGCTTTTGTGTACCATAATTTATGCATTCGTCTATGATTATTGGTATTCGTGCAGAATTTCTGTACTTAGAAAATGATCTCAAAAGTATGTACTGAGAATATATCACTCTTTTGACTTTTTTCAAGTGAAAATTACCGTCATAGCAGAGGAAGTTGGTTTCAGGAGTTGTGCAGCATCAGAAAAATCATTCAACCCAGAGAGTTGCTTTGACAACCAGTCAAAAAGATCCTTACGCCCTTCTGCACCAAGCTTGATGTCCGTCAAAGCTGCCGCAATGTAGGGGACCTACAAAAAGAATACTGTCATGGCAACCGACACCAGACCGTAACATTACCAAACACAAAGTATTGAAGTTACCATTTTGTCCAGATGAACAGCAGAGAGCCAAGAATCTAAAGTAGTCAACGTGCATTCTCTCATATGCTTCTTATTGTCACCAAGACATTTCAAAACATCCGAAAAAATGCCCTGAAAGAAATTAATTCGAACTAACAATCAACTCTAATGGAAAATACAATTTTTAAGTTCAGTTGTTTTAAATAGGAATGAATCAACAACCTTGCTTGACTTCTCAACAGCTGGACCCATTGCAGAAGCAACGTTACCAAGACATGTCAGGGTTGCCATGACTAAGTTCTTGTTGCTGTCAGAAAGACGCCCCCTCAAGGCACCAAATAATTCAGCTAAAACAAACACAACATTAATCAACGAATTGGGGATACAAAAACCGAGGAATTTAAATTACAAAAACAATTATAAAATTGAAATTATATCCCATTCCACCCGATAAAAAGATACGAAAAGGAGGAACAACAGCCTCAACTCATTTGAAAACACAAAACCACAACATAGAATGACATGTACCAGTTCCATTTGGTTGGATGCGCTTGTTAGCCTCCTCCAAAATCTTATTCACAGCTTCAATTGACTCTAAACGAACCTAGGATGAGTGAAACTAATGTTAAAAGGCTCGTAACGGCTGATAATTTCTAGGATAAATTATCAAATTTCGCAGCAGAGAACAACATGAAGAAGCAGACAATCATGCGTTTTGAACATTACCTTCCAATCTGTACTTTCCAGAACTTTCAGCAAAGTAGGTGTGATCTTCCCACTTATATCTTCCCGCGGCAGGCCATCTAGCCCACCTGAAGAAACAGATGTAGGTTCTGATGATTTAACTGTTCTCTTAGGAGCTGCTGCAGCACCCTGAACGGGAAAATAGGAGCATAGGTAACTTGTAAACAAGAAGAATGATATATCATATATGCATCTTACATCATTGACTTGGCATACCTCAAATGGATTTTTCTCATACTCCGTGTCCAGGGTACTAAGCAGTGCAGGTTTAACATCAGAAAGAAATCCTTTGATATCTGCAAAAAGGGAGAATTTTAAAAGCTTCTAACAAGAAATTAAGGTTTATGGACAATTAATAGTTCATACTAAAATGACCATCACCTGGACCAACAAATCTGTGTAAGACACCCAAAAGCTTGACAGTAGCATTCCTAGTAGCAGCTGCACTAGACTGCAGTCCAGTTTCTTTTGAAAAATCAATTAGATCCTGTAAAATAACAAAATGCATTTCTTTAGATAACCAATTATAGCAACTGATAATAAAAAGAGTAAGCAAGAAAAAAAGAATGAATCCGCCAGAGTAGAACTCTAATCACCTTAAGTTTTACATGTGAGATGCCAAAATCTTCAACTGCTGAAACCATCCACAGAATTCCCTCGCTAAGAACCTTAGGATTCTTATGCTCTTTCATGATTTTGTAAAGCTAGAAAAGAAACAGAATACCATGTTGCCATTTGAAACAAAAATAAATCAGAGGTAAAAAGCAGAAAAGTTCTAACTAAATTAGAAGGTGAAATTTTTTATCCCTGCTTCAGGGGACACTAAAAGACAAGTGGAATTATTGAAGAACTTACTCTCTCAAAAATAAATCCAGGACCTACGGCTTCACAAAAAGTAGTGAGGCACTTCATGGCATGAGCACGAGTCTTGATGTCTGCAACCCGCTCACTTATACCTGTAAATTCAGGCATAATAAGAGCAAGACAAAATAGTGAACCATATAATCAGCTACCAAGGAAAACAGCTAAACAAGCATGCATGATCAGACAGCTAAGAAAAGAAGGGGGGGTGTTTGAAAGAAAGAAAAAAAAAAAGCCCTCTAAATGCCTGCTGTCAATTTTACTCACCACTGAGGCAAAGCACTACACACTTCTTAGGAAATTTTGTGGAGGTAGACGCTGTGAAAGTAATAACTTCAATAACCTGTTGCTGAACCTGCACTATTTGAACTTAATGCTTAACATTAACAATTCCTTTTTCAACAAAAACATTCATCAAAGAAAGACATACAGAATTGCTACAAAAACATTCATCAAAGAAAGACATACAGAATTGTCTAGCAAAGAAACCTTAAATACCTGAACGTTTTTCTCACTCCAGCCAGGGACAGCACATAGTAAACGAATCAATAACTCAACCCACTGGTGAAGGTCCGATAAGGCTTCCACTTTTTGTTTAAACAAAGATATTGCTGCAACAAAAGTCAAATTTTAGAAGTGACAATTCAATAAAAATATCCAGTTGACAATAAAGATAACACAATGCATAGGTAACAATTCACGACCTACCAAAATGTAATATCAATTTATTTGCAGATGTGTTCTAATTAATATTATCTGCAGATGTATTTCGCTAAGCGGCAAAAAGTGCAGAAATTATAAAATTCAAAGCAGAATAATGACCACTTTTCTAGGTTTCTGTTTCAATCGATATCAAATTTCTCATGCCTAAAATAACCATATCACATACAGTTACACATAATATACAGAGGGAAAATCTCCAGTCACAAACATATGAATAGACAAGTATAATTATCACAAACCTTCAAGCCGTTCCTTCCACGCAGCACTCTTCAATTGAGAGATGGTATCTGATTGTATAAGAGAACCTAATCGACTTTCAATCTCTTCAAGACTCATCTCTGCGGGCTGCAAATACTCAAAACAGTATAAGTCAACAGATCTAGAGCTTTGAGAATGACAAGCAAAAGGCAATTCTGCAGATAAAGTATGGTCTACCTCAACATCTTCAGGTGGTTCAACAGCTTTAAAGGTCTTTTGCTGCGCAAGTGCATCACTCTTTTTGTTCACACCCGGTTTAGCAGAAGCCCCTTTTTTGGTGGCAGCCTGATAAAAAAAATAATTTCGTCAATCAGAAGCCACACCACAATAAAAAAACTCAGCTGCCTAAGCAGGTAAAGAAATAAGAGTATGAAGAACTTACAGCTGCCTGAACAGGCCTCTTCCCACTCAGCATGCTCGCTGCTGATTTTCTCACAAATGAAGCTTCTGATGTCTGCAAATGGCCAATTAATTTGGCACCAAATGACATAATATCAAAAAAGGAAAACGTTATTAAACTTAAAACATTCTTTTTCCTCCTCTCACAATCTAACGTGCCAAGGATCAATCTAATACATTTTGTCCACACTGGCAGTCACACTCCATTCCATGTTTATTGACTTTGTTTCTTTATTTCCCCCTTCCCTCCTAGAAGAACCTTCTTTCTATTTGACCCATGGGGGAAAAACCAGTTAAAATGATGATAGAGACATGATTTTCTATGTGCATAATCCCCAAGAAAAAAATGTTTCATATAACATAAAGTGAACAACTCCAGTAGGGAAGTAACAAATACATTTTAACTTTAACAGAATTCTTCACACAACACTATAAACTCACCTCATGAGAGGGGACAGTCGCACCAGAAGTTTGTACTGTACCTGGGACAACAATAAGTGTAGATACGGGGTTGTGAATGCTCCTGTGAATTGAGCAAGTCCTTTTTTTTCTTAATGAGAGAATTTAGCAACAACTAGACCTAAAAAACAACTTTACAAACCTGAGCTTGCACTGGTGGATGTACCTCCTTCAGAACCAGAAATCATTTCAGAAAGCTTTTTTCTTCTCACATCATCAAGTTTCTCAAGTGACCTCTCCAAAGGTCTCATACCAACCAACTAAATGAAGTGGATAAAGTAGTGATCAACAATTAATGTCAGTACCAAAATTTGCAACTTTCAGCATTTGCTACAATAAAGTAAATTGAAAATACCACCTTAGCTATTCCTGCCAAAGCTGAAAAGGCTGCATCCCTCACGTCTGGGGTCCCATCATTTAGACACTAGAGGTCCGAATTTGGAAATATTAGAAACTCCATGAGAAAGTATACATATTTAGAAAAGAGATCTCAAAGTTGTCAATGCATGTAACTAGAGATTTGATTCTGAATCAGTCATAAGCTGGAGATAAAATAAAAGAATAAACAAGATAATCCATAAGCCGAAGTAGTCCTTTTTATCCTTTCTTCTGTATTGAACATTAAAAAGTTAGAGCACCATGAAACATAACTAAACACTGCTCCCAATTTGACCCAAAAAAAATTTAAAAAAAAAAAAGTAGTGCTCCCAAACTAATTGAAACCAAACAAAAGTTTCCATTTCAAACTTTAAGGACGCAAGCAATATCGATTTGACTAACTGAATGTTCAAACTACCTTAACATTATAACAAAAGAAGTTACAACTTCACATATGGATGCACTGACCTCCATACAGATGGGGACATAATCCTTGTGCACCTTTAGAATAACAGCCTTGCTACTTGTTTCAATACAAAATGTTACCCAGTTCAGTGTTAATGACCGAACAAGTGGAACTTTATTTTTCATAGCCGTCTTAACATCTGCAGTGAACAGCATCCATTACAGTTTGAATAAAATCAAAACAATCAGTTATCAACAGTCGGGTACAAATCTTAAAGAAAAATAACTTGATGCCTTACGACTTAATAACTTATAACAGGAGATTTGTACAACAAACAATAATGACCCTATGAGGAGAAGGCAAGAAATAAAGCTCAATAAACCTGAGGTTAACATGGTAGAACAGAAAATATACTTGCCTTCTACAATGTCCGCCAGATTTAAGCACCCGGCTTTATGCATTGCTTGAAGAGTTTGACTTAATGCCTCAATCATGGTAGGTTTTTTCTCTTTCAATTTTTCCTTCATAGTAAAAGAGGAAGAAGAAAATTTTAAGATAAGAAATAAACTCCAACATCCCTTCTTAAAGCTAAAGAAAAGCTACCACTTTAAAGCAAAAATTATGGCTACAACCAGCGTCAATTTAACTTCTAAAGGGAGATATACTTGAATGACCATGAAAAGAATTACAAACACATTTACAAGTCGCGAGTCCAAGCAAAATATTATCATGCTTAATACCTCAGGCTAAGCACTTTCAACACACATGTTCGCCTTTTAATTCCAAATTGCTTTTCCAACACAAATTATAAAGTTTTTTTCTTTATTTATTTGGTAACAACAGAAAATCAACTCACAAGCAAAACTGGCAATAAGAAACGTGAACTCCCGGAAAAATGAGTTCTTAAACCCCGAGCCAGATTGCCAATAGCTTGGACAGCCTCAACTGCTACAGCAATGTTGACATCCGTTATAAGCTGTAGAGACAAACAGTTGGAGAAATATTCATTAATCCACCCGGCAAACAGACATAAAAGTTAATCAATACAATTAAGTGCCATCCTTACTAAACATTGCAATACAATGAGCTATGTAAAACTAAATACTAAAATATACAAAAGAACACTTACTTTTTTTAGTGTTCGGCATATTTCTGTGAAATCACCGGGAGCAATTTTTTTTGTTGAAGCAAGCTTGGTTAGCTCCGCAACAGCCTCTTTTCTTTCTGACCACTTTGTCGCTTTCTAAAACAAAGACAAAGCGCCACTAAAACAAATCTTGCTAACATAAAGCACTAGAAACTCTTCTTTCCTTTGATGCTATGAAAGGCAAGTCACTCCCACAACCAAAAGAACAAAAGATTAAAGGATTTCCTTGAACTAGACAGGGAGAGAACGCTAACCACTCCATCCCAGAATCCAGTCTTCTCCAAAGGAGCCAATATATCAACAGGATCAACGAGCTCATACTCATCTATTTCTTGAGGAGCTGATCATCAAAGGATAAATTAAAATGAGTATTCACTGGAGCAGCAAAAAAGTTACAGCACCGGCATGTCCAGTTAAAAAGCTAAAGAACTAAACCACAAACATGCCTAAATTCCTATAACAAGAACTACCTCTTAGAACACCTACTCGATCTCTTATTCAAAAAAAACATTCAGAAAAAAAAAATCAAGATTACAATGGTGAATCGCGTACCCTCAGATGTAGACTCTTCAGATGGACCAGGACCTGCAGCTTCAGACACGGCTTCCCTTTCTGGCTCCTTGTCTTGCTCAGACCTAGATCATGCATAGAAATCAAGCCCTTCTTAGAGATGAAAAATAGAACCAGCAAGACTTGTGCTCCCACAATTAAGCTAATCAAGAACTAAATTTGCACCTTATTTTGCGAGATGGCCTAGCTGTCCCTGTTACATTAACCAGCTCGGCCTCCAACTCTTTTTTCTACAAAATTAAATAAATGGAGGAAATTAAGTTTCTGTTTTCCATAATTAAAAAAAAAGCCTCACCATGGTTACTCGTTAAGCATTATGTTATTATACCATTGTATCTCGCATCTTCTCAAACAATATTGATTTTACGGGGTCTTTTCCAATCCAACGACAAAGCTCAAGCGTAAGTCCTTTAGAAGACGCACGCACATGTTGATCTTGATGGTCAAATAGTTCAGGCAACATCTTCAAAATCCTCTTTGGAGGTACAATTTTTGCTCCAAATTCACTATCAAAACAGAACAGCACACACGGATAATATCATAAACCAATCTTAATTACACGTGTGTATACCGTCAAGAAAACTCAAATGCAAACCTTAAGGCTTGAAACATGACATCAATTGCAGGTACAACAGCTTTGGCAACTTTGTTCTTAATTGCTTTCTCCATTGCGTCCTACAACAAACACAACCACAAGCCAGAAATGATCACACTACTAACTCACTAACAAATGCAAGAAAAAAATTTGAGAAAGCGAAAGAGAAACATGTACTTCCGTTACAATTTCAAGGTAAAAACAAACACCAGAATAGAAGAAATGGCGTACCAAGAAAGCCTCCACTGCCTCCAATTCAACCCAAAGCATGAAGATAGCTTGAGCCTTCTCCACTGTCTTGGGCCGACCGGTGAGGCATTTCGCCACAACAGCATCGCATACTTCCTTCGCATATCTACACAATGCAACACTCCACAATCACATATCCAAACCAAAAAAAAAAAAAAAACCAAAAAAAAAAAAAGAGAATAATTCACCTTCCGGCATCAGCATCAGCGGCTCGCAAGAAGGCAATCAAGGCATCGAGCGCCTTCTCTTGCACGGGCGCATTGGAATCGACCACCGTCTTCCTGAAAAACGGACCTGCGACGACACGAAGGCAGCGGAAAACGACATCAAATTAGCCCGAAACAGCAAGGGGTAGGGCATCGGCATTTCCTCCGACGCCGGAAAACGAAAGGAAAACCCTAAGTAGCAAAGCAAGAAGAAGAAGAATAACAGTTGCGGAACTCACAGAATTCGCGGAGGCGAGAGTCCTTGGGGTCAGTGATGGAGTCGCAGACGGCCGCCAAGTCGATGTTGGCCTCGTTCCGAACCTTCCAGTTCTTGTGGAAAAGACGATCCTCCCATGGCAGCTTCTTCGCCTCCCTCAACAACTTTTCTTCCTCCGACGACATTTCGCCCCTTTCGCCTCACAACCTATATCTATCTCTATCTCTCTCTCTCTATATATAAGTATATATATCGATATATCTATATATTTATATGAAAAGCTTCACCTGGTCGATCAGATCTCTGCAAATGGCAATGCAGAGAGAGATTGAATTCGGCGAAAATGGAGAAGACGGATCGGATCCAGAAGCTATAGATCCACCACCACCACGACCTTCTCTTTTTGGCTGAGGAAAATGAAATGAAAATTCAAAAACAAACCTCTCTAAAACAAAAAGAGGGTTTTTTTTTTCCCTTTCTTGTGCTCCTTTTTTATATTTATTTTTTATTTTTTAAAATTAAACAAAAAAGAAAGTGTCTCTGGAGATGGGCAAAGAGCGAGGGAGAAAGAGAAAGAGAGAGAAAAGGACGCACTGTTGTTGTTGGCGTTAAACTTTATTTAGACGGCAGATATTTGAGATTGGGGATTAAAACGACAGCGTTTGGTTGCGCTCCCAGTTTCATTTTTTATTGCTTTTGAAAATTTTGGTGATTAATTAACAAAACGACGGCGTTTATGTTGCTGGCGGTTTTATGTTTGCTTTGTTGAGGTGTCATGATCTGAGCCATTAATTTCAAATTAAAGGACGGCGTTGCGGAGATTTCACGTCATGGTGGGGTCCACGTGAAATCCACTGGATACCGATCCTGCACGGCGCGTATCATGTCCTTGTCTCGCCACTACGACCTAATTTTAGTAGCAGTTTCTGTATTTTTTTTAATTACTTAAAAATTAAACAATTAAGTTTTACTAATTAATTAAATTAATTGTTCACTTTATTTTTCTTGGGATGATTTATATCGGAAAGGATTGGAGTTGTAGGGACCATTATTTGAATGTATATTTGTTTTATTCAACGAATTGAAGTTTTCCGTCAATGCCCAATAATTCTGTTTTTTAAAGGTACTTTTTTCATATAACTTTTGGGAAATTATTAATGATAATTCCAAATTTTCAATTTAAAATTAATTGGCTTCACTAGTTTGAGTTGAGAATTTAAATGTATATTTATTTTATTCAACGAAGAGAAGTTTTCGTCAATGCCCAATAATTTTGTAATTTAAAGGTACTTTTTTCATATAATTTTTGGAGAATTATTAGTGATAATTCCAAATTTTTAATTTAAAATTAGTTGGCTTCACTAGTTCGAGTTAAGAATTTGAGTTAAAAATAAATTCAATTGAAGGAAAATAGTATAACAAAATAGTGAAATTTGAATTTTTATAGAAAAATATTATAGTAAAAACTTAAATTGTGATTCGAACTAGCGAAATTAATTTTTAGTTAGTTCTAATTCGAACTAAATAAAAATACTTTAGGGTGACATTTAGTTCATGGGTTCAAAACTATAGTTCATGATTCTGATTTTTAAAATTTAAATTTTTTATGAGAAAAAATACTATATCGAACCAAGAATCATAATCATAGATCAAGTTAGAACCCTTGAAACAAACAGAACGTAAGAAAAACTTGACTTGTGATAAATTTAGATTGTTTGTTCTACTCTTTTTTTTAATATAGAATACATGTTAAGTTCTATTAACGCATCAAGCGAGTAGTATTTGATTAAAAAAAATAGTTAATCCCACAAATGGTACTTAAGGTCTACCTCTAATCCCATTTTAGTACATAGCTTTTTAAATATTTCACAGTTAGTCACTGAAGTTTCGTTCTATTTTAGTTTTGGCCCTTTCATTTATTATGTGTTAAATATTTGATTGAATTTGTATAAATTAATGACTAAAATTAGAAACAGTTAAAAACCTAATAGACTATTTGTATAAATTAATTTTTATTTTTAATATTATTTTAGCCCATTAACTTTAGTGGTATGTTTACCTACACGTAATCGGAATGAGCATGAATCGAAGTTGGCAGGATTCAGAGTGGGTAGGATTTGGAGTGAGGAATCGGAGTCAGAATAAGCTGTTTACTTAGTGATAGGATTCAGAATCGGAGTCATTCCAAATCTCATTCATACGTTTACTTACACCCATAATCGAAATGAAAAAGTATAAAAGTACTAATATACCCTTTAAATCAATTTGATATTTTCAATTTAAAAAATATAGTGTACTTATTATATTAAAATTAATCATAATTAAAATATTTTGTGTAATAATTGGATACTAAAATAATAAATATAAATTGTACAACTATTTAAAATATAAAAATAAATTTTAAATAAAATAAATAAAAATAAAAAATAGTGTTAAAAATAAAATATATTATTAATTTATTAAAAATAAAGTACATATTTATTATATTAAAGTTAACAATAATTATGCTAATATTATAATATTAGGCAAATAAAATAATAAATATATGTTGTATTTATTATTTTTTAAATTTTATTTTTAATTGTGTATTTATAAGTAAAATAATGGTATAAAAAAGAGCAAGTAAACATGAGATTGACTCTCATTCCTCACTCTCATTCTTTAATCATGGTAAGTAAACATGTCATAGATGTTTCTAATTTTATTCTTATAATTTACACATATTTTATCAAATATTTAACACTTAATTAAATAAATGATTAAAATTGAAACAAAGTGTGGGATATTTTGAAATTCATAAGCTAAACTGGGGTTGAGAGTAAATTTCGGAGCGATTAACCTAAAAAAACAAGTAGTATTTTGTTCACTCACCAATAAATAAGCGACATGTCATTCATGATGAAATGTGCGAATGTAGCATCAGTGTATGAAATGTCATTATTATAGTGGCAAAAATAGTTGTCGCTAAATTTTGCTATCTGAATAACTGAACAACATGACGTACCTTGTCTGGCAAAAAGGCATCCCGTTGTTGAAATTTCAGTAAAATAAGAAAACGACAACCAGTTCCCTTATTATGCCAAATTTAACTATAATAAACGACATTGTGTTTTCAATTATTTGGAAAATGTTATCATCTCTCCTTTAATTTATGATCACTTGTTTGGTTTATGGGGTTATATTTTCTTTATTTTATTTATATTTATTCTAACAAGATTCTTGCTTACTCCTCAATAAGAAAACGACGTATCGTTTTTTATGACATTTATGCAATATATATATATGCAAAATGCACTTCTGACCTGTTTAGTTTACAATTTTTAACATAAATTCAATCTTTATAACATAAAACATTATAATAAAAAATTTTGAATCGTGATTTAAACTTATGAAACGATTAAACTTTAAAAAAACCCGTGTTTGTTTTGATGACTCGTGCACAAATGTTTGGTAGGGGGATTTATTCCCTAATTCGAATCACGATTCGTAGTTCACTACAGTATTTTCTCTCACAAAAAATTCACGTAAATTGAAAATAGTTTAAATCACATGGTTTAAATCCTCCAACCACACTTCATTCTATCTCCCGTCTTTTAATGGCACGCAAACAATATGAAAAACACACCTTTGTCTGTGTTTTAACTTCACATGGACTTTTTCTTAAAAACAAAAGTTATTAGCACTGAGTTCTCAAATTTTGAGTATCGCATCCCTTTCGTTTCAAGTTATTAATTTCAATAAATTATTTCATGAGTTTTTATTTTTTTGATAGTTTTAATCCCAACATTATAACAGATGAATGGCTTCTGAAATTTATCTAAATATCACGTCCCAATCGCATACAAACTTTTTTTTAAAAATAAATAAAATGCAAAACTTTATATTTTTAAAGGTATTTAACAATAATGATTAGAAGTTGATTGGACGTTGCGATTAATCTGAACTCTAGTGGTTTTGTTATTTGTAACATAAATTTTTGTACATTTATTAGTGGTGGTATTTTCAACTTAATTTCTCTCTCTGAAAGCAGAGTTACACACGCATTAGTTAATTTATCTTTGTCATCGTCTATTAACAGATATTGACTTAAAGAAAGCCCATATTGTGTTTTTGCTAAGTGCTCTTAATGAATTCTGTCATGTTTTACCTTTTAAAAAGAGAATATAGCATTTTGCATTTAATATAACTATTAGGGGGCGTTTGGTATGTGGTAATGTGTAGGAATCATATATACTGAAAAAGTGATAGAAGGCAATATGATTCTTAGGAAATGTATATTACCATGTTTGGTTATGCATGTGAATCTTTTCTCATATTTTCAGGAAAATTATTTTATTGTGTTTGGTTGATACAAAGTAATGTCATGTATTTCTTCTTAATAATAACTAATTTAAAATATTTTTAAGTACTAAAAATTTGATTATTCTTAAGAAACACAAAAATTCTTCTTAGTTTAAGAAATAAATTTGTAAGTTGTTCTTCAAAAAAAATCTTAACAAATTTTTAAGAATATATTAAAATCTCAAACCAAATATAAAAATTTGATTAAGTTAAAACACCATATTGATATTCCTGGGAATCTGAATAACACCATATTAGGTGTTATTCAGATTACCCCATTTTGGGGTAAAATGAATCCCATGAGATTGATATTCCTGGAAATATAAAAATCACAACTATTGTACCAAACACAGTAATATGTGAAGATTCTCATTCCCACTTAAAGATTGTTCCATACTAAACGCCCTCTTACTATAAAAGTTTTACTGTGCATTTAGTTACTAGATTCGTATCATGATTTGAATCGTAATTCGTGGTTCGTTATAGTATTTTCTCTCATAAAAAATACACGTAAACCGATAATAATTATGAATTATAATTCTGATCTCATAAACTAAACGTCCACGTATTATACGAATATAACATGATTTATCTATGTGAACCCGCAAACAAGCATGTTTATAAGTAATGCTTAATCGTGAATTGTAAGCAAGGACAAAACACGAAAAAATTTTAAGGGAAGAAAGTGCAAAAATCACACATGTGTAGTATATAATTACACGCATATTAACGTTAGCGGTGAATTCACCGTGAAAGCGTAGATTGTAATCCTTAATCTAAGTTCAGTAAAATAAGGGAAAAAAGAAATAAAACTAATACCCCATTTGCTTTTGTTTTGGATTTTTGTATAGACTTGTTTTTAAAGAGATTGATAAATAACGTTAGATCCCATTTATTTCACCAATTCGAGTTTTGTTATAGTAAAAAGCTATCAGAAACAATCATATCTAATTTTTTTATTACATTAAAAAACTCTCACATAAAGTCACATCTCAATTCGAATTAGCGAACTAAACGGTCTCTTAGTATGTGTTTTAAAAAATGACACGTATAGTTTAGAAGTCTTTAAAAAACTCACAAAAATTATTATAGGAAGCGATTGAACTCACGTGATTCATGTTTCTTGAGTCCAGATGTACTGTCTTTATTTTTTTGTTTCAGTGGTTGTTTTTATACTTATTATTTGTCATCTCATTTAAATTTAAAAATTTAACTAGATAAATAGAAATAAATCACTAAAATACTTAAACAAATTACGAGTTATCAAAATTTAACTGGAGAAACAGTTATTGAGACAGAAATATAGGACATTGGATCTTGATTGTCATCTTTCTTGTTCTTTTATATTTCTCAATATTACGATGTATCAATTAATATTTTTTGACAAGTGTAATTTATTAATTGAGATGACATAAATATCAATTAACAAGTTAATAAGTCACAATACTTAAAAATGTTTTAATTAATACGGTATTTTAAGTGATACGTGGGTTATTATTAGAAAGATATGAAAAAATTACAGGAAATAAAGCAAATAAGAGTGGAATAGGATATTTTAAGTGATACGTGGGTTATTATTAGAAAGATATGAAAAAATTACAAATAAAGCAAATAAGAGTGGAATAGGAAAAAAAAAGAAAGAAATTTATTTGGTAAGACTAAAAAATGAGTTATCAGTAATAATTTTTTTATTTTCAATCTTGAGATGTGTATTAAAATTTGGGAAATGTTAAATACAAGCTCTCACTTACATACTATTTTACAGATGCTAGTTTAATCTGTTGACACGGGTCATATCAATTTTTTCAAATAATCCCACTTAATAATGTCATTATTTTTAAAGAGATTAAACTAATATTAGTAAAAGAGTTTGTATTTAACATTTATTTAAAAAAATTATATATATTTATTTTTATTATAAATAAGATCTAGTAATAAAAAAAATACCCTATTAGTGACAAGACTCTATCGGTAAAAGTGTTTTTCTTTAAAAAAAAAAAAAAGAAAAACACTTTTAAAAGGCAAATCTCGTGGTCGCATATAGAAAAGGCAAAGAAAGCCTTCAACTTCTCTCTCTGCTCGACAGCTACTCCACTCTCGAGTCCGATTCACCAACCCACAGAAGAGAGAGAGAGAGAGAGAGAGTTTTTCAACTTTCCAGTGACTGAGCTCGTCGCAAACACCGTCGCGAACTGAACTGCCGGTCAGCCTCTTCTCATCTCCTTCACTTCCTCGATTTCTCCACCATTCCCGGCTCCTCCTTCCTCATATCCCACACCACAGATCAATATTTTCACTTATCTTTCTATTCACATACTTTTTTCCCTAGAATTTTATTTCTTATTAGAAGTAATATTTTTTTTGTCTCACAATGCATTGCGCTTTCCCCTAATCTTCCAATCAATTAGCCACTCTATTCGATTTTTTTCTTTATGTTAGGGTTACTTTTGTTCTGGGATCAGTGGTTTCTGGGAATTTCTCTTTTTTGTTGTTGTTGTTGTAATGTTGCACTTTAAGGGCCCGTTTGATTCACACGTTTAAACTAGTGATTCTTGATTTTTACATTTAAAATTTAATTTTTTGAGAGAAAAACACTGTAACAGAATCAAAATCATGGTTTAAACGAACAAACGAGCCCTAAATTTCAGATTTAAGGAACTTTTTTAAAAAAAATATTTTCTCTTGTAGTTGCGCAGCGATGGCGAATTTAACTTTGACCGGTATATTGGAAAAGGTATGATTGACTGGTGTATATATATATATATATATATATATATTTGCAGTTTTAGTTTGTGGACTTCACTATGTGTATATGCCTTGACTTGAATGAGGTTTTTGTGTGCAGATGACGGGCAAGGATAAAGATTTTAGATATATGGCAACATCTGATCTCTTAAACGAATTAAATAGAGATAATTTTAAGGCAGATGCTGATTTAGAGGTTAAATTATCCAATATCATTATTCAGCAGCTTGATGATGTTGCTGGCGATGTCTCTGGCTTGGCTGTCAAATGGTATCATATTTCTCTCTGCACATTATCTCCTATATATATGTATATATTCCTATTTTTTTTTCTCAATATATATATATATATATATTCCTATACATCTATATACTCATAGACATTCATACACACACACCAACCTATATGTATATACGTGTATTCACAGTTGAAAACAACAAAAAATACCTAAAAAAGGGACAAAACACCAGCATAAATTATAGACTTTTTAAAGCCTGTTATATCGTTCCCTTTATATGTGAATTTTACCTGTTGTCCCTTAGTTTGGGATCAAGGTGAAAATTCTATATAAATTCGTTTATTGTAATTTTGTTCTGGGTATTTTGTAGTCTTGCCCCATTAGTGAAGAAAATCAGTGATGCACGAGTGGTGGATATGACCAATAAACTGTGTGAGAAACTGCTGAACGGGAAAGATCAGCATCGCGACATTGCGAGCATAGCTTTGAAGACTATCGTTGCTGAAGTTGCTACTCAGACTCTTGCACAGTCTATTCTATCTTCTATTTTGCCGCAATTGATTCATGGAATTACTGCCCCTGTGAGTAAAATTGAAACTAGAATGAATGGCATTCTTATTGGATGATTCTTTTATCAGATTTATATATTCATTATGAAAACAAATCTTCTTTTGCTTCTTTTATTTTTTTTTTGGTCGATGAATTGTATTGTGATTTGGCCTCGTTTATCTAAGTTCTCCAACGGCATGGAAGAGAGAGTCAGTCATAGTTTGGATCATCTGACAACATGTTTCCATCATTATTGATCTATTGTCTTTTAATTCATTAATTATGTATTTCCTATTCTCAGCAATCAAGTTCAGGGCTTCTTGCTAATGGTTTTAGTGCACTTCCGTTTCCCCAGGTCACAAGCACGGAAATAAAATGTGAATGTCTTGATATTTTATGTGATATCCTCCATAAATTTGGAAGTCTCATGGCAAGCGAACATGAGCAGCTCTTAGGTGCACTCCTGTCCCAGTTGAGTTCTAATCAAGCTAGTGTGAGAAAGAAAACCGTTTCATGTATAGGTAAGATTAATGTAGAATCTTTGCAATAATTGTTCCCCCCACCCCAAACTATTACTTTTGGACGGTACATGCCAAATGTTGTTGTTATGGTAAATTTGTTCTGCTTTGCTTGGTGTGTTTCTCGAATGTAATGTCTCAGAATCAGAGTTTGGCCAGTCTTTAATTGTTCTGGCTTATGCTCAATCATATGAATTACTTGTACTTTTTTTTTCCTTCCTTTTTGAGCTTTACTGGTGCCGGAATTTAAACTTTTTTTATTTACCACTTAGAGGGGAAATTAACTTTTGAATTTCTTTCAGCATCTCTTGCTTCAAGCTTGTCTGACGATCTGCTGGCAAAGGCGACAGTTGAAGTGGTTCAGAACTTGAGAAATAAAGGTGCAAAATCAGAAATGTGTCGCACAAACATTCAGATGATTGGAGCTTTAAGGTGGGTGTCAGAATGTTAAGCTTTCTGTCTAATGCCTTTCCCTCTCTCTATCTCTCTTTTGCTCTCTCTCTCTCTCTCTCTCTCTCTCTCTCTCTCTCTATATATATATATATATATATATATATGCATGTATGTGTGTGTGTAATGCTTATTGTCATGCGGTAAAATTTTCTGATGTATTTTTGTATCTATGGTGTTTCAGTCGCGCTGTGGGTTATCGTTTTGGACCCCATCTTTCTGACACTGTCCCTGTTTTGATCAATTACTGTACAAGTGCTTCAGAGAATGATGAGGAACTTCGTGAGTACAGCTTGCAGGTACCCTCCATGGGTTATTTTTTTTTTTCATAACATCTTCCTAACTTGAAGTTTTTTGTTTTGCGCTCTTTTTTTTTTTGTGTTTATATGTTATATTCTGATTGCAGGCACTAGAAAGTTTTCTCCTTAGATGCCCCAGGGATATCTCTTCCTACTGTGATGAGATTCTTCATCTTACTCTGGAGTATTTAAGTTATGACCCAAACTTCACGGATAACATGGAGGAGGATACTGATGACGAGAGTCTTGAAGAGGAGGAAGAGGAGTATGTTTTTAATCTTTTTATCTATGTGTGTGAGGCAATTCATGGCTCTTAATTCATAAAAAAACTTGTTGATTGACTTGTGGCTGGATGCTTTATTTATTGTGCAGTGAAAGTGCAAATGAATATACAGATGATGAAGATGTCAGCTGGAAAGTTAGAAGAGCAGCTGCTAAATGCTTAGCGGCATTAATCGTGTCTCGTCCGGAGATGCTTGCGAAATTGTATGAGGAGGTATTTTTGTGATTGCTTTTGACAAGTGTTGTTCTGTAATTTTGTAACGTGGGCTCTGTTTCCTTTTTTGTTTTGTGTTCATATATTGTGCATTAAACATATTGTGTCTTCTTCGTCAGGCTTGCCCAAAATTGATTGAGAGATTCAAAGAGAGGGAGGAAAATGTCAAGGCAAGTCAAAATGATCTAAGCGTGAATCTTTTTATTACTATCTATGAGGTCGGTTATCTGATATTATTTTTCTGCAGATGGATGTATTTAATACATTTATTGAACTGTTGCGTCAAACTGGGAATGTTACAAAAGGGCAGATTGACATTAATGAATTAAGGTAAGTTTTATGTTGTTTTATTTTCAAACGAAAATGACTTAATCTAGGTCTTTCCTCCTTTGATCCTCTCAATGGTGCATGGTTTTTGGATCTTTCATTTTTTTTTGGTGAAAACCTACGTTTGTATGTTGTATGTGCATTGTTTATTATGAGTATTTTGTTCGTTGTTTCTGTCACATAGTTTATAGAAACTGTTATCAATTCTTTAAATTCATACATGTTGCAGTCCAAGATGGTTGCTGAAGCAAGAAGTGCCAAAGATCATCAAGTCTATAAATAGGCAACTACGTGAGAAGTCTATTAAGACTAAGGTAAGAATTGCTCATGTCCACTTTGGTAGATTCGTTCTGGACTTGTATTGAAGTATTATGTTTATCTATTTGCAGGTTGGTGCCTTTTCTGTTTTGAAAGAACTTGTTGTCGTCTTGCCAGATTGCCTGACAGACCACATTGGATCCCTCATCCCAGGAATTGAAAAGGCATTAAATGTAAGTAAAACTGTTCAAACTGAAATTTGAAAGTGTATTTTGAAGCTGTGATAATTCTACATGATGTTGCTATTTTTCCCTCACCCCTAATTGTATCTTGTGATACTGCGCAGGACAAAACTTCTACCTCAAATTTGAAAATAGAAGCTCTTATCTTTACAAGATTGGTATTGGCTTCACATTCTCCATCTGTTTTCCATCCTTATGTAAAGGTAAACACGGCTTTCCCACTTTTCTTATTACAGAAGGAGCAACATAATTTGGAGAATTAGAAAGGTAGAATATAAATACACTTACAAATAAAGAACACTCACAAACATTCGGAATTAACTTGGTATGTATGCATGAAAACCTTTCAAGGAAAAAAAAAAAAAGAAAAAGAAAAGAAAAAAGCATCTCAAACTTTTTTCATAATTTATTTTTATATATGTCTAATTACACTTATGTACATCTATATGCGTTGATAGGTTGTTTTATATTAGTCTAAATTAATTTGGACTTGGATAACTAATTGTGCATTTTATCAACGCCTTGTTGAAATATATATATATATATATATATGGGAGAAGGGTCTGTTACTCTAGCTTAAGTTTATCAACTCAAGTTTGTATGCCAAGTGTGTTGGCAATTTATATTGATAATTTTTCAGGCTCTTTCTAGTCCTGTTTTATCTGCTGTGGGTGAGCGTTATTACAAAGTCACAGCTGAGGCATTGAGAGTTTGTGGGGAACTCGTTCGTGTTGTTCGCCCTAACATTGAAGTGAGTTTTTTACCAGACATTCTTAAACTTTCTACCCTTGTCAGTTCATGGTCTAATTATTTGAATGACATTCTGATGCAGGGGACTGGTTTTGATTTTAAGCCTTACGTTCGTCCAATTTATAATGCCATAATGTCACGCTTGACAAATCAAGATCAAGATCAGGTCAGTAGTTTTAGTATTTCTGTTAAAGACTTGTACAGGGTTTACTGTGGCTCAAATTTATTCTTATCCAGGAGGTCAAGGAGTGTGCTATCACTTGCATGGGACTTGTTGTCTCAACCTTTGGCGATAATCTCAAAGCAGAATTACCCGCCTGTCTCCCTGTACTTGTTGATCGCATGGGGAATGAGATAACCAGACTAACAGCTGTAAAGGTGGGTTGCAGCTATAAACGTGTGTGTTGGCTTGAATTTATGCTGCTTTTATGTGTCTCGGAAAGACATCATAATTGAGTTGTGCATTTATGTGTGTACGAGAGTCAAGTGTGTAGTTATAAAGTCCAGGGTGTTGAGATCCGTAGCTGGTTGTTTATTTTCATCATGCGTGATTTGTTCTCTAGTTTTTGTTTTTCATTAGGACAGACTTTATTGCTTTTCCACTCTTGATTATTGTTCAAGTCCTTGAGGGTTTTTTTCAAGTCCTTGAGGGTTTTTGTCCAGGCATTTGCTGTCATTGCTGCTTCGCCGCTGCAAATTGATCTCTCTTGTGTTTTGGAGCAAGTAATAACTGAATTGACTGCATTCTTAAGAAAGGTACGAAAAATTTGGTGCACATTCTCTTCATTTTTTTTTTGTTCCCTATTTGATACATAGACTCAACTTCGCTTTTCTATGAAATAGGCAAACCGGCCCTTAAGGCAGGCCACGCTGGGGACCCTTAATTCCCTAATTGTTGCTTATGGTGATAAAATTGGTTCATCTGCTTATGAAGTTATTATTATCGAACTTTCCACTTTGATAAGGTCTATACTTCACCTTTTTTCCTTTGCTTTTGCAATTTTTCTCCTTTTCTCCGATGCTACTAAAAACACAACATAGTTCTTATTTATTATCATTATCTCAGTGATTCAGACTTGCACATGACGGCTCTTGCCTTGGAACTCTGCTGCACCTTGATGTCAGATAAGAGATCAAGTTCAGTTATTGGGTTGGCTGTTAGAAACAAAGTTCTTCCTCAAGCACTAACATTAATCAAAAGCTCATTGCTCCAGGGGCAAGCTTTATCGGTACTTTTCTTCGTACTGTTGAACCTTGATTCAGATATTTCGTATGTTTGTGGACCTTACCTTTCGTATACTGCAGGCTTTGCAAAACTTCTTTGCTGCTTTGGTCTATTCAGAAAACACAAGTTTTGATGCCCTGCTAGATTCTCTTCTTTCAAGTGCTAAACCATCTCCCCAGGCGGGTGGTGTTGCAAAACAAGCTTTGTACTCGATAGCACAATGTGTGGCTGTTCTTTGTCTTGCTGCGGGTGATCAGAAGTATGCATCTACAGTGAAAATGCTTACTGAAATCCTCAAAGTTGACAGCAGTACCAATTCAGTAAGTCACAGCAATCCCTCGAAATAAATGATAACTAAATGCAAGCAATCCTTAATGATGATTCTTTTTGCCTCGTAAGTAACCCTAATAAGTAAATCAAGAAAGAGAAATTGACTTAAATGAAGTAAATCAAAAGAATGTTTTCAAGATCTAGGCAAGTATGCTATTCATTATTTAGTTTTCAAGCCTGCTGAGTGTATGCATTCATTGCCATATTTTAGGCCAAGCAGCATCTTGCATTGCTATGTCTTGGGGAGATTGGGAGGAGGAAAGATCTAAGCTCTCATCCCCATATTGAGAATATTGTTATCGAGTCATTCCAATCACCTTTTGAAGAGATAAAGTCTGCAGCTTCCTATGCTCTTGGCAATATTGCTGTTGGTAATCTATCCAAGTATCTGCCTTTTATCTTGGATCAGATTGATAATCAGCAGAAGAAACAGTATCTATTGCTTCATTCTTTGAAGGAGGTGGGTTCTCTCGCACAATATGTCAATTGTGGAGCCTCTTGTTACTTTTATGAAATATTTCTCTCATGTAGCCTTGGACCATTATTGCAGGTCATAGTAAGGCAGTCTGTAGATAAAGCAGAATTTCAGGATTCTAGTGTTGAGAAGATCCTTAAATTACTTTTTAATCACTGTGAAAGTGAGGAAGAGGGTGTTCGCAATGTAGTAGCTGAGTGTCTGGGTAAAATTGCGCTTATTGAACCTGCAAAGCTTGTTCCTGCACTGAAGGTATCAGAAAGGTCCTTTTTACCTTTATGCTTAATGTTTGGTAAAATCGTTTAATGGGATGATAATGTATAATTTGTCTTCTTATTTTCAATAGGTACGAACAACCAGTCCAGCTGCATTCACTCGGGCTACAGTTGTTATTGCAGTGAAATATTCAGTGGTGGAGCGGCCAGAGAAGATAGATGAAATTATATACCCTGAGATCTCATCATTCCTGATGCTTATTAAGGATGATGATCGGGTGAGCCTCGTTTTTCTAATGTGTTGAGGGCTTAAAAACAATTGAGGCCCTAGGGTTGAACAAAACTTGTCATCCTTCCGTTTATTTATGTTTTTTTTTTTGGCCTTCCTCCCTGTCTGTGGCTAGGTTGGTTTTGGACTTGTAATCACTGATTTGTTGTGATTTTTGCAGCATGTAAGGCGTGCAGCTGTATTGGCGTTGAGTACATTTGCTCACAACAAGCCAAACCTTATTAAGGGGCTTCTTCCAGAATTGTTACCACTTCTTTATGATCAAACAATCGTCAAGGTAGGATTTTGACATTTATGGCATGCTTACTAACCTAAAGTGTGAATAGGTGGATGAGAATCATTCCCATTTATGTTCGGACATCTCAAGTCTGATCTTTTTCATTCTTAATAATTCTTTGCAGCAAGAATTGATAAGGACAGTTGATCTTGGTCCATTTAAGCACGTTGTGGATGATGGCCTTGAGTTAAGGAAGGCTGCTTTTGAGTGTGTGGACACATTGCTAGACAGTTGTCTTGATCAAGTGAACCCCTCATCTTTTATTGTTCCTTACCTTAGATCCGGTCTCGATGGTGAGTGTTTAGCTTAAATATCAGTCTTTAGCATTACTTTTTTTCAAAGAAAAAGTTACATACTATATGTGAGGTGTTGTATGGTTGGCGGTTTTGACAAGTTCTAGCTTCTTTTTTATGTTAATGCCTACATAAAAGAACAATGATAGTCAATATCTTAAATAAGTATTAGTTCGTTGTTGTCTATCCCACATTGCATCAATCTCTAACTATTGGTGAAACCTGAAAGCGGTTTGTTGCTTTTATTACCTTCAGAACTGATAATGTATTTCGGGTTTCTGGTCTGGCAGATCACTATGATGTTAAAATGCCTTGCCATCTTATCCTCTCCAAACTTTCAGAAAAATGTCCGTCTGCAGTACTGGCCGGTGGGTAAACTAGAGGATTTTGCTATTCTTAGGTTGAGCATGCTCCAAGTATACAACTCATGTATTACTTTTATCTATTTTGCATTCGTCAGTTCTCGACTCATTGGTGGACCCTCTCCTGAAAACAATTAATTTCAAGCCAAAGCCAGATGCTGTCAAGCAAGAAGTAGATCGTAATGAAGACATGATTCGCAGCGCCCTTAGAGCTATTGCCTCCTTAAATCGTATTAGGTTTGCCCCTAAACTGTATCCAAATCCACGCATATTCATATAAGAATCAAATGTCCACACTGGCTTATGTAAAGCCTTGAAAGAAAGAAACGTGTTATTTCACTAAAATTTTCAAATGCCAGTAAAAATTGCACAGTTCCCCCTTCCTAGTCCTTCCTCGATCACAAATTTTCTTGCACTTTCTTATAAACATCATTAAGTAATGGTAGTAAAGGAAAAAAAAGAAAAATGCTTTCGAGCCTTGGCTTTATCGGCACGATTGAGGTTGAAGGTTCTTGGTTTTTGATGAAGAAAACAAATACTAGATGAAAGTCCTTGCCTCTAATCCCCACTCTTTTATTTTACTTTTCCTCGTTTCCTTTATTGTTGATTCTTCTAATGCTTTGTCGTATTTTGGTATTCTGCAGTGGTGGAGATTGCAGCCTAAAGTTCAAGAATCTAATGCATGAAATATCCAAGTCTCCAGCGCTTTGGGACAAGTACTATTCCATCCGAAATGAATGACGGATTGGCCTTGTTTGCGTCCAAAGTTTGCTTGCGAAAATTGAGAAAATTGATCAATCATCCAATAGCCACATTTTTTTTTTTTTGGGTTTAAAGAACCAAAAATGAAGCAAGCTTGTGGCCTCATTTATGCATGTGTAAAGCGGCTTAAGAGTTTATATGAGAAACTTATAGAATAGGCGAGACGCATCACCATTTTCTTATATCCTAGGAAATACCAGTTTATTTATGATTTTTCTTGTATAGTTTTGAAAATATCAATCCGCCATAAATATGTCCATTGTTAGCCGTATCCCAAACTCAATTTATGGGTTTGCATTTGTGGCTGAGATAGACTTGAACAAAATGTCGTTTTTGGAGACATTTCGTGTGGATCATAATAGTTTTTTTTTTTTTTTTTTTTTGAACGTATGCCCATAGCCATCATCTTCACATAACAAATATTGAGAGCCTGTATGTTTTATATATTTAAATTTGAATGTTAGAATCAAGAATCATAATTTGAGCTAAGGTCGGCAATATGGGTCATGACAACACGATTCGAAAACGATATGAATTTCACATGTTAGAGTTGAGAAAAAAGAGGTTCGGGTCAGAATTGAGTCGACATGAAATTGACACGAAAAACACTGGTCAATTTTGGGTTGTACTCGTCTAATTTGAACGCAACACGAAACTCGTAAAAAATTAAAAAAAATACATATATTTTTTATTACATATTTTTTATTTTATTATGAACTTGTGATATCATGATAGTTATACTTAAAATCTTATTTTATTATTTGCTTAATTTCAATAGATGTTATTATATTTTAGTGTGTTATGAATTTTAAGTTATTTCTAATATGTAAAAAACTAAATAAAAGTTTACAGTTTTTGTGTGAATTTCGGGTTTACGAGTCAATTTCATGTCACGTGTCATTTTTCATGTCGTGTCAACCTGTAAAGTGATCGTGTCGTGTTCGTGTTGTGATTTTTAAAAAATTTCGTATCACGAGTCGTGTTCGGATTAACTGTAAATTTAAAAAGAAACACTCAACACGACACGAATACGATATGTGACACAAATTGTCACTCCTAATTTGAGCATACTTTCTAAACGGGTCTTAAGTTAATATTATTAAAAGTGCATGAGTCTAAATTTTTACCTCTTATTTTTAATAAATATCTTTTTATTAATGTAATTATTTAATTAAAAAGGTTATTAATCAATAATAAAGAGTGAAAATTTTGAACCATCTACTTTCAAAGAGTATTTGTTAAGATTACCCAACAATGAATTTTCATAAACTCTTCTTCACAATGCTTGCCGGCTCTGATCTACCAAAATAATAATAAAAAAAGATGTTTACTTTCATATCCACAAAATTGCATCCACAACTTTCGGAGAAATTTCTACATGGACTGGACTTTAGACAAATATGACGTATAAAATAATTTACATAGACAGAACTACAAATGTGATTCCGTATCAAACGAATATGAGGAACTATTTTGCATTCTTATTGCTCTCTGTTTGTGATGGGAATCGACAAGTACACTACTACCAGAGCTCTGCATTCTTCTTCATTTCTCTTCAAACTCGACATCAATTATCTCAGGCGACGACTTTGAAGAGCCGGTGCCTCTACCACCTCTGGTGAAGGAGTCTCCTTTGGGCTGCCACACAGTGTTTCCGCAGCCAGCACAGCGTATCATTTGGGTTTTGGAACCAACAAATTGCCTATTGCAAGCCGGGCAAGATCCCTGTCGAAGTTACAAGCAAAACAGCGCCAACCCGTTTTTCAAATTCTATTTGTCACAAATCATAACAGATAAGATGGTAAATTAAGATGGGGACATACAGTCTATATGTTTAAAACGTTAGGAACCTCTTTCATGTCTCGCAGATTCTATATTTGTTTAAAAGTGTCGTTTAAAACTGTTATAGAGTGATTCACAACAGGGTAGTAAGTGAAAAGCTTCTAAGACGTGTTTCAGAAATTGTGTGATGAAAGAAATTCAAAAAATGTAAACAACAATGCATAGTGGAAAAACACACACATACACCCATGTAACAAAAGGATACCTTTATAACAAGGTTATTGGCAAATGTTCCGACGAGAAGAGGACCCGCGAATGGCAGTACCCATAATCCAAATATCAAAAACCGGAAGAGCCATCCAGATAGCGCAAACCAGAGGAAGAAAATTGTCTGCAAATAGAAGGGGGAAAAAGGAGAGGCAGCCCACATTACGTTGGTGGCATAACCAACAAACAAAAGCACAATTTGGACCAAAAATGATCAATTACAAATGATTGAACCAAGATGCCAAAAACAATCACTACCATATAACTCTTTACTCGACTATCAATTGGCTATGTTGTTTTGGCTTCACTACAGAACCGTATATTTTAATTCCTTGCAATCAATCACACTCCAAAATCCAAATAGGAGGAAACTTCATTAAGAAAAAGTGTAAAAACAAAATACAGCAATGAAAAGAGGATTCTGCATACTTCAATTTTCATAAAATTGTTTTTCTGTAAGCTATAACTCAATTATCATAGTCAGCAACTAGGATAAGCCAAATGAACATAGAGAAATCTCCCAACCAAACAAAGAAAGTTTTGAACTTTCCCTCATCCAACAAGAGATTAAAGCTAATTGTGATAGTTCTTTGGACAAATTGACTATGCAATGGTAATTAGGGCCATGATAAAATGCTGTTAAAAGAAGACTTTTAAGATATGAAAGAAAGTGAAACTCACAGCGAAACTCCTTCCCAGTGGAGTCTCCAAAAAATCAGCGAGCTGCTTCCTGTACTGCACGGGCAACAAACGAACGAGAAGTTGAGTAAAGCTTCAAAATTAATTAGCCAAAGATAAAATGGGAATAGAATCCCAAAGTAAGAGAGAAGCAGCGAGCACAAACCCTAGGCCAATTTCTGCTGAAATCCATGGTTAGGGCGCGCCAACGCGATCCAATCTCGAGGTCCCTGTCGATCTCGCGGGCGCGGGCCGCGGCAGATCGGGCGGCGGAACTGAGGCGGTGGGAGACGGAGTACTGACGGTCGAGGCGCTCGGCGGTTTTCCTGGCCTCGAAGAGGAAACGCTCGAAGCCGTCGTTGGCGCCCCGCCAGGCGTCTCTCCAGGCCTCGCCGGAGGCCATGCGCTTCGCGAAGCCGTCGAAGTCGCTGCGGCGGCGGAAGGCCAGGACGACGAAGGCCGAGCTTGGGCGGTTTTTACGCTGTCTGGCAGTCGCCGGCAGGGCTACTGCCTGAGGGTTCCATCGGAGAGTTGTAGCCATGTGAGAGAGATGAAGCTTCTGGAATTCGCGAGCTGAAGGAGAAGAAGAAGACGACGGTGATAATACGCCAGTACAATAAGCAAGAGCTTCACTTTTTTCTCCCACTGATTTTTTCAACAAAATATTTCACCGAGTTTTTAATTTAAGTTGAGTATTTCGCGAGTTTTTAATTTAAATAGAGATATAATTTTATGCAAAATTTTTTTTAAAAATTATTTTTACACACTCAAACGGTCTAAGATTTTATTTATTTTACTGATTTAAGTTTTGTTATCGTAAGTCTCGTTCGTTTTGTAAATTTGAGTTTTTAATTCGAGTTTATATGTGACATTTTCTAAGAATTTTTAATTATAGTAGAAAAAGTTAGATGTGATATTTTTTGATAGCTTTTAACTGTAAAAACTTAAAACTGAAACTCGAATTGATAAAATGAACGAGGTAAAAAAAATTCTAAAAAATAATTACATCTAATTTTATAATACAATAAAAAATTATTATATAAAATCACATCTAAATTTAAATTAAAAATGAAGGACCTAAAAATTTATAATTAAAACGACATTTCGTTTTGATACAACTTTTTCCAACATGTCGTTTGATTTTGACGTATTCCGGCCTACAGCCGTATAATTTTTTTTAACGTCATTTATATAAATCAATACCTATGAAATAGAGACTGTACCTTTTTCGGCCTTAAATGACTCACTAGATCCTCAAAAAGGAAAAAAAAA